CGCTAACAATGTAATGTTATAATAATGAAGCAACAGCAGCAACTAATGCATTCTTGGTAAAATGGGCATATCGAACACTTCAAAAGATGACGTTTCACAAGAACACGAGACATGAATGCAGACTAAGAAAGGCCCTCCCATTTTTCACATGTGGTCCTACTCCTCTTCTGTACAGGTGTAATATCAATCACCCCCTGTGCTTTTCCTGATATGAGCAGCCAAAATGTCTGCTGTGAAAAACATCTATTTAACTCAAAATGATCTCAAGCTTTTAAAGGTGTATCATGAAGAACTCTTTGTGACAGACTGCAATAAATAAGATTCTAGGCTTTTTAAAGCTGGTCATGGTTACCTTTCTGCAACCACCTCCACACATTCAAGTCTGTCTCCTGATGTTTGAGTCTGACTGTAGTTTCTGATGTGCTCTGTGTTACAGTGATACAGGGTCAAATGGCTGGGGAGTGACTTACACCTCTACTCAGATCTGTGCCTTAAAAGGATCAACAGTGGAAATAAGCTGCACCCTCACATACCCATCCAGAAGAAATGGCCGTGATACTAAAGTTGAGGAAACATTATGGTTTACTCAACTGCAAGAAAAAAAACCTGTGGATCTGAGAACAGACTCAAGATACGCAGGTCGTTTGCAGTACAGTTGTTCTGACAACATCTGCACTCTGAGAATCACAGACCTGAGAGAGAGCGACTCAGCTGAGTACAAGTTCAGGTTCATAACAAACCAGCCAGGTGGAAGATTTACTGGTTCACCTGGAGTCACTTTGTCTCTCAGAGGTAACATTTTTGTTGGAAACCATGTAAGTTAACTCCAAATGCTCAACGTTTGGGAAACACTACAGTGAATCTTGTATGCCTTTTATCATGTGTGTAAATTCACCATTCACTCTAAAATCATATTGTTGTTTCTTTACAGATACAGGTTTCCAGGTGCAGGTGAGCAGCTCAGAGTCATGCAAGACTGAAACATGTACATGGTCACAGCTTAAGTGTCTCAGCAGCTGTCGTCTACGTAATCAAACCTCCTACATCTGGTACAAGAATGGACAGAAAATTAAGGAAGAAGCACCTTCTTATTCAGACTACTTTTATCCTGCAGACAGCTATTCCTGTGCCCTTAAAGGACATTTTCCTTCTCCATCAGTGTGTGAGTTCACTCCACAATCTTCTAATAATGTGTAGTGTACCTAGATTTTGTGTCCTGTTTTGTACAAGAACAGCAGAGACAGATGGCACTTGTGATCGTTCAGCAGGCTGTTCTCTGTCTTTATTAAACAGAATTTATCTCTTTTTCCCTTCTTCACTTAAACCACATTGACCATATTCCTTTTAACAAATTACACTTAGGTTCACATTACAGCATGGATGTTAATGCATTAAACCCCTGGAATAACATATTTTACAAGTGATATAAATGTACAAACTGGTACTATGACTCACACTTACTGCTGTTTACCAGCTCCAAAATCGTACACATCCAGTAGCTTTGATGCTGGTAAGCCTACTTTAACACCTCCTCGTCCTGAACGGCAAGCTATCCGCCCGGCGCTGCCACTCTTCGGGGGGGAGAGGGCGCAGAAAGGTCAATGTGAACCGAGAGTGAGTGCTCGGCCGGCGTGCTCCGGTCCGAGGCACGCCTCGCAGCGGGGACGGAGATCACCCAGCACGATGTAGACCGTTCTGGCCGGCTTGCTGGAAGACATCGTTCTTCTTGTTTTCCGGCTGGAAAGTCTTTTGCTCTTTAAACAAATCTGCTCTTTGACAGCTCAGTGCTGAAACAATATGGGAGCCGATGGCTGGGTCTCACCGTTGTATAGATACAAGGTGCGGACGTAGGAGAGGCCCACGCTGTGGGTGGGCGTAGACTAAAATTCTCAGAAGGGGTAAACCCAATAGTGATAGCCTTAGAGGGCGAAGCCTATATGAAATAGAACAAAGGATCCCCTCTGACTATTTTACTTACATTTAACTCAATCCTTGGTTCAGGAGCTGGGAAAATTGGTTATTTAGCACGTAATATTTCTGTATCATATAATTTCTAAGAGAGTATATAACGTGCTGGGAACAAAGCATTAGTTACAACATGGATTAAATGCAGAAATGTTGGCGAGCACTGAAGATTAAAGGCACAACAAAATGAACTTACTTGTGGTTCCTTCTTTCTGACATAGTTTTTAACAAGAACAGGGTAATAATTACTCAATTGAAGTGGCGAGAACTACTAAGTAAGTTAAAGATTCATTTAATTAAAACAAGGTAATAGGCAAGTTCATAAGGAGACAATATTCATTTGTCCACACAAAGGAAGCGTCCTCCTCTGGTGTCTGGGTTTTCTCAGCAGTTTCACAGCTGGGTGTGAAAAGGGAGAGGGCATGTTAAGAGCACAAATTAATGGCTCTTTGGTGGGGTAGAGAGTCAAGACGGAAGAAGGGGGTCTTTGATGTCCGAGGTAATCTGAAAGAGGAACTTCGTTACCGTGGTTACCCTGCCCTCTTGGTCTTGGGAGTGTTTAGAGGTCGTTTAGTTTATGGCTGCTGAGGTCCTCATAGCCTGCTTCAGGGTGAGGTTAGTCTCTGGACAAGGTTAATATTGTCATTTTAATAGTCATGCATAGAGTCTGTTATCTCAACTTCACCGGAGGTGGTAGGTTTTATGGCTGAAACTGCCCAAGCAGCACTTGGGAGTGGAGCAAACCTTTCACCCCCTCCTTTTGGGTACTTCAGCTGTCTGTTGAGGGTTGATATCTCAACCACCCCCTCTTTCTCTCAGGGAGAGACAAAGAGAATTTGGAAACTCCTTTTTGGCATAAAATTATAAAAACAACACACTGGCTGGTCCACTACAAATGTGACGCTGTTTTGAACATTTTAGCTGATGTTCTTTATCATGACTTCATGTATCTTTTAAAAGAAGCAAACTCATCCACAGCAATACAACCAGCTGTGAATTACTGCAGTAAAGACTATAGTTTTAATAATCATCAAAAATATTTCATTTTCAGGTGGCCATGGTCATTCATGCAACAGAGTGACTTACACTGACAGAAGCATCTGTGCTGTCAAAGGCTCATCAGTGGACATTTCTTGTACTTACAACAGTTATTACACATATGTCAGATCTAAATTCTGGTTCAGTCCTGAACGTAGTCTTCAGTGGCAGAATCCCTCACAGCGTGAGGACCTTAGTAAAGACTCCCAGCATGCAGGTCGTGTTCAGGTACTTGAAACAGAGAGAGGACGCTCCACTCTGAGAATCACTGACCTGAGAGAGAGCGACTCAGCTGAGTATCACTTCAAATTCAACACATGGAGATTTGAATGGAGGAGTAGTTTACCTGGTACAACTCTGACTGTCACAGGTACTGATGAACACAAACTGTAACAGCACATTTAAACTATCTGATGACAAGTGAATGTGCTGAATAGTGATCCTGATGGGAAATAATTGGATGTGTGATTAACTGATTACATGTTTGTCATAATGTTCTATTGTTTATATCTCTGTGTCTGTCTGTGTGTGATTCAGTTCCACATAAAGAACAAATATTTCTGTTTTTTCTTCCCAGATCTCCAGGTTCAGGTGATCAGATCAACAGTCTACAAGAATTATACTGAGGCAGAGCTGCTTTGTCACAGCAGCTGTCGTCCACCTGATCGTCCTTCCTACGTCTGGTTCAAGAATGGACAGAAAATGGAAAGCGTGGAGACATCTTCTTATAAAGATCAGTTTTATCCCAGAGACATCATCTCCTGTGCTGTAAAAGGACATGAGGATTTCCCCTCTCCTTCAGTGTGTGAGTTTAACGGACTGTTTCAGCGGCGTTACAATACAAATATCATATTCAGACATAAGTTTTCTTGGAATCTTCTAGATCTTAATATAAACACAGCAGCATTATTTATGGAAATTAAAAAAATACCACCAGTAGAAATCAGTATTCAGATACATGTTGTCAGGGACATGCACAGACATTTTGGTGGGCGGGGCCTCAAGTTAAAAAAGGGAACTTCTCATAATTATTTATTAAATTATTTTTTAAAACAAACATTCAATATATTAACTCTGACTTTCTTACCAAGTTATTTTAATTCCCTCACACTAGTGCAATTGTTTCTAGAAAATAATCAGTTCAAACAGACACCGTGGTCTTCTTTAGTATTCACAACACACACACACGCACACACGCACACACACACACACACACACACACAGTGCACACAATAACTGATGGTGTCATAGACTTAGTTTCACATTTGAGGGAGGGCTGTCTGTATCATGTAAAGATCTATCAGCATACAACAAACTAATAGAATGGATAGTTATTAGATGAGGAGTCTACGATCAAAATGATGAAGTTACTGCTTAAGTCAGGAAACTTTCTGGCAGCTGCTCAAGCCCCTTTTAATGTCTATGTGTGCACGTGCCTTCATGTTGTGATTTAACTCATAACTCTTATGTCAAATTTCAGTGATTCAGGAATATTAGACGTATAACATTTTTCATTAAGACAGGATGCATATTGTTAGTCTGTAACTTTAAATTTTTCATGGTAAAGCTTTAAAATGGAGTTACCAGTCTCTGAAGATTTGTTGCCGACAGACTCGACAGACAGACAGACGGTCTTTAGTAGTGGGAAATCTGAAACACATGAGTGCTGCTACGACCACTGAAATTGTGTTTTTGAAAATACCAAATGATTAAAGGCTTGTTATTGGCTGTCAGTTTCAACAAACAGGATTCAGACCTGAGACAGATCCAGAATCAGCACTATGGACATCCACTTTGTCAAATACTAGAGAATCAAAAAGACACAAACAGAGAAATTTTATGAAAATAGTCAATCGTCTATAACATAGTCTAGCATTTCAGTAATTCATGTTTATACCTTCAACAGATGCTCTGAAGCTTCCCTCTGTGTCAGTGAGTCCCTCTGCTGAGATAGTGGAGGGCAGTTCAGTGACTCTGACCTGCAGCAGTGATGCTAACCCAGCAGCTAAACACACCTGGTACAAGGAGAACCAAACTCTGCTCAGTGAAGAACCACAGCTTGTCTTCAGCTCCATCCAGTCCTCTGACTCTGGAGAGTATTACTGTGCAGCTGAGAACCAGCTGGGGAGGAAGACAACTAAATACATCATTAATGTGAAATGTGAGTGGAACAACATTAAAAAATATAAACACTTATTAAATATATCTTTGCAGGAGAAAATCTTAGCAGTAGTGCAATCTGGACACAGTGCTGTCAACGTGGAAGAGAGAGTGAACACTTTATTAGCAGGAGGAACTCAGAAACAGCAGGTGGAGTTGGAGCAGGCCTCAGTTACATCCAATCATCAGTACTTCTCATCCTCTTTTAAACTGAATTTAGATTTCAGGTCTGTGTGTAACAAAGGGTCTTTCTGAAATTGTATAGAAACTAATAATGAAAACTCCTATAATAATCTCCTCGACACAATGTGATTCTTTAGAGGACATATTTTTATTTTATTATATTATATTTTATTCTTTGGATTATTGCTTGACTGATTTGATTTAGGATTCATCCTGAAGGTGGCCACTATACAGCTCTTCAAATCATTTCACAGGAAGGCTTGAAAAACGTGAGTTTAATATCTTGCCAGTTGTGTGTAGAAAACCACAGGAGGTCAATCACCTGTTTCTCAACATGCCTGATATTGTGTTGAAAGATGTGATGTCTCTAGTGCTTTGCCAACCAAATGGACATTGCACACGGCTCCCCTCTAAGTAAAGCCATGTAAGTTGAAATGAACTTGCACTTGCCAAAACTTGAAAATATTTCTGCCCACATCACTCCTAACGGCAGCTGCTCCAGTCCAGGGCTTCAAACGCTAATGGAGACACTGAAGGTTGATGCTTCTTTAATACACTTAACGTTCCTACTTCTGAGTTTCGTAATTAAGATTTATTTTACCTAAAATGAGCCATCTGATGTTAGCTAGCTGATAGTCCACACTACTTTTCACCACTTGCCTATATCATTTTGGATTAGTTATTGTAGAGATACATTTTGACATCAATATACAGTTCATTATTTCATCAAATCTTTTGTGAGTCTTTTTACAATAAGCAAGTCATATGTTTTCACTCTGGAACTCAGGAGTTTTACCTGGCTAGGTACAGTAAATGTTAAAAACCAGGTTTGTTATTTCAAACGTATTCAGTTTCAGTTTTGTTTATAGAACGCCCAATTCATAGGAAAAGTCATCTCATTGCATTTTTTATGTAGAGCAGATGTAGACCATACTTTTCATATTACTGAGACCTAAAAATTCCCAATTCCCCAACAATGTAGGACTACTGCTTTACTGAGTGTAGATTACATTTCATTCATAGTCAATATGAGCAAGAGCAAAGGAGACATTTGCTAAGAAAGAGGAAGTTGAAATTGTGACAGTTTGAACTAAACTTAAAATAATAAGAATTAGGAATCAGAGATGATAATGCAGACTGCATTATGACAGTGTCTTTGGTTCTGGTTCAGCATTGTGTGGGTCTGTGTTTGAGCGGTCATGATGGTCTGCTGCTGTGTGCTGGTCTGACTTTCTGGCAGGTTTTTTCTAGAATACTTGGTGCCATCTGACAACAACAGTTGTTGTGGTTATGGGGCACCCATCAACTGGTGTAATAAATGTGATTTATCATCATCTACAGACTGAAGACATTAGTTCAATAAGCAAGGATATATTAAGCATTGTAAGATTTTAGTTCACTGAAGCGCGTGCCTGCACGTGACCTGGGAAAAAAGTCCTAAAATGCCTAAAAACCGGCCTGTAAACAAATATTGACAAGTTGTCTCTCTTTTGTCCCCAGATGCTCCAAAGCTTCCCTCTGTGTCAGTGAGTCCCTCTGCTGAGATAGTGGAGGGCAGTTCAGTGACTCTGACCTGCAGCAGTGATGCTAACCCAGCAGCTAAATACACCTGGTACAAGGAGAATCAAACACTGATTCAGGGACCAGAGGACATTTATCATTTCACCTCTATCAGCTCTAAGGACAGCGGGATCTACCACTGCAAGGTTGAGAATGAGTATGGCCAGATCAACTCCACATCTGTATCCATAGATGTCCAGTGTAAGTACAAAACATCAGCAAAGCGCTTCCACATACAATGTGTTTAATTACAGATAGTGAATGTTAATGTGAGTTTATGAGCTCGTTAACGTTATCATGTTCTAAAGTAGCATCACAGGGGTTTAAAGGATCATTTCAGATTATTTAATGCTAACTTATAATATAGTCACATGCCATTTGTACGTTAAAATAGTTTTTGGTCACTAATCATTCCTCCTGGTGAAGAAGAGATACCTTCATAGAGCAACATGCATTTCAGAGTTCACATGTAGCGAATTTGAGGCTTCAACAGTCTGAGTTTCATGAATCAACTGTAACTTCCAAAATTACAGTTGTTATAGTGCAAAATTTCCTTTTGGTGTTTGTTCAGACAGTGAATCTTTGCTGAGCTGCAGCAGAAGGTTTAGCCCCATTGGTGTCCTGACGTTACTCTGTCATTCACGCAGCGTTCCATACACATTGTTTTTTAAATGTTATCCAGCGACAGGTTATATATTTTTGTAATTCCACTGATGTCCACTGTCTGCTGAGGGTTTGCCCAGTGAAAAAGTTCAATGCAGTATTTCCACAGACTGCAGCTTCCAGCAAAGGAGAAGAGCAGAGCGGCACAGTCTGAGAAAATATTGGACATTGGCTTTGCTCCGAGCTAACATTTAATATGTCCAGACAGAAAGTAGACATCTGTGAGGTCAACAAAATGCTTTTTAAGACGCAAGCTGCTGCTGGATAACAACGTAAACGTTTTGACTTATCTTCTAAGGCTCCTTCCACAACTGTCGTTTGGTTCATTTGGTCCAGACCAGGGAAAAAATGATCCACTGTTGCGTTCCTGATCTCAGCAGAGTTCGATTGGCAGCTTTCACATCAGCCTAAATGAACCGAACTAACCAACACGTCCTCTTACCTAAATGACAAACTAGGTCATTTGTCAGTGCCTTCTAAAACTACATATATAACCGTCGTAAAGTACCAGTCCAGCGACAGGCTTACCAGACCTTAACTACGTTATGTAAGTCACATGACTGATGTCACATAAATCAAGAGATTTAACTGACGTGACATAAGTCACATGATGTAAGTCCAATACATCATGTGACTTAACTCACATGAGGTAAGTCAGTAACACTATTTAACTTGAACTCAAATAATAACACTGACTTGGTGTCACATGGGACTTGAATGCTCGTCTCCTGTTCTTCCTTTGCTACCGTCATACGGCCACTAGAGGTCTCAGCCACAAAAAAAGTAAATATGAGTCAAACAACATATTATGGTTGCTTTTCTGGTGAGGACAGACTGGTACTAACTGGGCAAACGCATCAGAGTTTGTTTAACTGGACCAAACAGGTTAGGTATGAAAGATCCCTGTTACTGTAGACCACAAACCAAATCATGGAGTAACATGAAGCATGCTGAGGACACAAATAGGGCTTTGGGGGGATATTTCCTGATAGTAGTTTTTTTGGCAATAAACCTACTCACAACTACCAAATCTTGTTTTCCTTAGTATTTCTATACATGTTTCCTCCAGATGCTCCAAAGCTTCCCTCTGTGTCAGTGAGTCCCTCTGCTGAGATAGTGGAGGGCAGTTCAGTGACTCTGACCTGCAGCAGTGATGCTAACCCAGCAGCTAATTATACCTGGTACAAGGAGAATGAAGACTCACCAAAAGCATCAGGACAGAACTTCACCATCACTGACTTCAGAGCTGAACACAGTGGGAATTATTACTGTGAAGCCCAGAACAGAAGAGGACGTCATAACTCCACCTTACATCTGATTGTTGTTGCAGGTAAGGTTTTATAATTTACCTACACACACCTGTTAACTGCAGAGTTTACAGCCACACATCTTTGAGCTCACCTTGGGTTACAGAAGCTCAGCTAACTTTAGTTAGGATTATTTTTACGTTTAAAAAAGAAACGATCCCAGAAAACAAATTTAACCATTGTTAGTGTCCATTTATCACTAATTCGCTTTTGGAATTAAGAATTCCGGCTTGATTGTTGTTTTCCAGGTTCATTGAAATTTCCAGTTGCTCTATCAGTCAGTGCTGTTGTTCTGGTCTTCATTCTTCTTCTCTCTGTCGTCCTGTGGATTAGGTGAGCAGATCACTTTCTCTGTGATTAAATGTATGTATATTCACATTTTTTAACTCAGTCTCAAAGCACTAGTCACATGTTCGTATGTGCATTTAAAGTTAGCTGTAATGGTTCCTCCTGTTAATACTGACCCTCAAGAGATCCCCTCTTAAAGCAGTTTCAATGTAAGTGATGCAGGACTTCCTTCCATATTAAAAAACTAATTGTGGAAGATTCCCACTTGATTTGTCTAACTGACAAGTTTATTAGCTTCATCGTTTTAGCACAGAATGAGGATTTTAGATTTTGTCCCCATCACTTACATTGAAACTACTTTAGGGAGGGATTTATTTGTTACATTCATCGTGATTTTGCTGTAACAATAACTCTCAATGTACATATGGGCATTTTAGCATTGTAGTCATGTTTGCTTGAAGAAATGTGTTTAGTTATTCATTTGCTTCTTTTATTTATTCTCCTGTCAGAAGAGAGAGGTCTTTGCAACAACAACCTGAGGCTGGTGAGAGACCACACAACAGAGCAGAGGTACAAACTAAAACATGCTGTTCAGTCATCTGAAAACTCATCTCGTAGGTGCATCACATCCTTCTTTGACTACTTTCTTCACCCAAATTAACCACGCTCTCCTTTATCTGTTTCCCAACCTGATGGCTTGTATGATCAGATGGAATAATTACAGAAAGCAAAACCTGTTTAATTGTACATGTGGGCACCATATACAACATATGACTGTTAAGACTTCAAAAACTTTTCCTTCCCACAATAAATTAAGCAGCTTTTATCCAGCCATACTTCTGGCACACTGTTCCCCTGTTAAAATGAACAGACAGGACTGTCATCTTGTAAATAATAGTGTAAGTAAAATATGAATACTATTGACCTCTGCTGGTGAGCACAAGGTATTACAACACAAAACAGATTTTCAGTATCAAGCTTCAGTACTTTGGTTTTTTTTGGTTTAGCAAATTAGGCTGAACACACTCATGGTCCTGTCATGCTGCAGTGCAGTACAGTCTTATTTACTACCTTAAGTCACACTGAGTTCTGTTTGTCTTGTAAGCAGTACATGGAAAATGTAAAAGTCCTCTTGTCTATGTGGCAGGAGACAGATGAACTTCATGCGAGCGTACAGTGCGTTAGGAACCAGCCAGAGGCTCTCTACTCCAACTTCAGCCCAGCTCAGCCCCTCAGAAACGAGGAGGAGGTTGTTTACGCGACCCCCATCTTCAACAGTGCCGCAGGGTGAGCAGCTCTTCACACAGGACAATCTTTGTTGCTGTTTAATTTAAATAAAATACACATTCAGTTTGAAAGTGTCAGAGAATTTAATCTCACATTTTTGCTGTTGCATGTGTCTTTTTATGGTTTTATGTTTCTTGTTAAGTGTTTAATTATTGATTTCTTCACAGAACAAGGCGTCAAGCAGCTGTGGAGGATGTATCTGCCCTGTACAGCAGAGTTAATAGAAGCCACTGAGTGTGATGACAACATGGATCTGTGGTCTGTATTTATGCATGGACTTTCGATGGGCCCATTAATTTTTCCTCAAGACAGAATTGGTTAAGAGTGCAGAATTAAGGCAACAATATTTATTTATATCTTATATTAATGAAGGACAGGTAGATTAAATATTAGATACCTCTCTAACGGTTACATTAAAACCTTCATGAAAGTAGGATTTATCACAGGACAGTTGTGTTGAACGGCATTAGTTTTAGATCAGTGTACTTAATAATACACTTCCATCTTTTCAGGACAATGTTTTTTTTCTTTGTCTTTTTTTTTTTACTGTTTTGATTATTATATGATCACAACTGTTACAATGTAAGTCATTCACACTATTGCCAATATTTTTATGCTCATTTTCTGAATTTGTATTTTATTGTCATTTCAAACTGAGTATTTACATTTCTTTACATGTTTTGTATTGTTTTTCTTGCATGGGAAATAGTGAGTAAGACTCCTTGTGTTTGGCCTGATGAGTGACAGCTTGGAAACACTTTAAAAATGTAAATGGATATAAACTTTATTTTTAGCTGCATTTAAGTCTTTGACATGGAGTTTGTATTCCAATCTGATTACATCTTTTTGAAGTTGTAAAATCTTAAATGAAAAGCGCTCCATCATTTGGGGCATGCATTAACTTTGAAAACAACAGTTTTTAGCAGTGAAACAGAAACCAATCTGTACACATGATGATGCTAACAGAGCTCATAGCAGGGCAGTATGTCATTTATCCAGTTTGTCTCTTACTAGTCTGAAGTGTGGTGATTGAGAGTTTGTGAGACCATAAATATTATTTCTCATTAATGTTAAAGTTTAAAATTATTGATAAATAGTTAAAGGACCACAAGACAAAGGTTTATCTTAAAACAAAAGTATTTGCTGTATCATTCATCTTGTTCATACTGGACATTTAGAGAGTTAGACAAACAAAGTGCTCATCTCCCAAAGTTACTGTCCTTTTAGTACAAAATCCCCACTTTGTGTTTACAGGACAGCGTTTCCTTCCTGAGCTGCCGTGACAGAGGGGACAGGGACAGAAGAGGGAATATCCTAATGAAGAAGACTGTAATAGACTTCTAACTTTGTTTGTCTAAACCAGACATCATATTAGGATCAGATACTAATTGGAGTGTATTTCTGCACAGACTGAGGACTGCTTGTTCTGAATCAGCAATTTTCTTAAAAAAGTCAAATCTTCATGTGGCAGATAAAAGTCTGCTGAGCACCTTCTGATTCCATACAAACAGTTAGTGATCCACAACTCAAAGAAAGACTCCTAAATTTCCAATAGTTCCTTTTGCAAGCACAGAAACAAATGTTTAATATATGAACTCTCCTTCAGAAAGCAATGAGGTGATCAGTAGCAGTAGCCAGCTGCCCACAGAGGTAACCACACCTGCCTGTAAAATCTCTCAAGCTGTTTGTGTCTGTGAGGGAATTTAGGCCAGGTTAATGGAGGTGACCTGTCACACTTAACCTGTCTTCTTGCGTCTCGTGTCTCACGCCTCATGTCTCTGGCAGGGTGCTGCTGAAAACGACACAAAACCGAGGAAGTTGACATGATGTGGACGAGTTTAGAGTTAAATCAATATACACCACACGCTTAGTAAATTAATTTTATCAATTCAATTGGATCTGAAATAACAGTGGTTTTATTTATCCTCTTTATTATACACTGCTTACAAATTGTATGTTGTATGTTGTATGAAGAAATGCAAATCCCAACAGCTTAAAATGATTTAATATTATCGTGGTTTAAGGTTAAAGTTAGGGAAGCGGTTGGTTTTAGGCATATAGTGTTTATGCTTAGGGTGAGTTTCCAGGAAATCAATGTAAGTCAACACAGTGTCCCCTCAATTTGTGTGTGTGTGTGTGTATGTGTGAAGACATTTGAAACCCCAGTACATGAAGTGCTATAAATAAATGTTTCTTACTTACAAGTTGCCAGATCTAGATAAACCTTTGGAGGTGATGCAATCTGCCTCTCTGGCCTTTTCACAGTATGAGGTCTGTGGGGAGAGAATCAAGCTCCATATGCTGGTCTAATCCAGTCCAGGTGGTCCTGTCTGCTCCTATTAGAAGAGCTTGGGACCAGAGGAGCCTCCACCAGGCTGACTTTAAATCAGAGAGGATAGCTGAGCTAATATGATACTGTGCTTACATAAAAATCACCCAGGATTTGCTCTGCCTCTGACTGCCGGACTCCAAAATTGAATCTGAAGTAATGATGCATTTTTATGCATACTAGTCCATCTAAATCTGGTTAGGTTGTGTCAGTAGGTTGTCAGGAGGATCAGAGAGCTGATCAATCAACGGCACTTTATCCCTATTAACCTGCTAACACATCCTGTTTTTTTCAGGTGAAGGAGCAAGAGCAGAAGTTGTGGAACAAGTGCACCGAAGAAGCAGGCGAATGCTGCTCAAGTGTTTGCATGTAATATTCCTTACAAATTGATGGTAGTTCCTTCAGTTACGGAAACTATATCAAATGCTCCTTTTGATAAATGAAATGATCTTGAATACAGTTGTTATAAACTTTAATCAAGGCTTCTGAGCACATCCCATGATCAGTGATGGCAATGAAAATAACCATGAATAAATAAATAAATAAATAACCTACACACAAACAGTCACAAGTACTAGTAATGTTGGGGTGTAAAGTGACAACACACATTGAGTCAAAAACAAGTTCAGATCTTCACCAGCCTGTTGGACAATTACACTCCTTGCATCAAATCAAACCTGGGTTTTATAATATTTGTGGGGTTTGTTTCTAACCTCCTATGAGCCTACAATGGGTGGGGTTACCTACATCAGGACAACTTCATAAAGAAGCATGTGGATAGGGTCAGTAACCCCTCTTAGGTTTCCTTATCGCAATATTGTTGCCTAAGACGTGCTTAGCAGTTATGAAAAAATATCAGTTTCAGGCGATCAAAGTTAATTTCATGTGCGAGGTGTTTCATAAATATACAGCATGTAAGATTGGCTGAAGACATCGAAAGTGCATCATATTCTGTACTTTTAAAGCAATCGTATATTGAATATGTTACCACCTTGATTTCATCTTAGAGCCTTTTTATACTCAAATGAATCACTTAACCTTTTTCAGTACTAGACTCATCTGAACCTGCAGACCTGAACAGCCACAGCATCAAACAGTGTTTCTCAGCAGTTGATGGTTTAGAGCATTGCAATAATGCATACTTGTGTTAAGTTGGGGGACTAATAACTATCGAAGCAGCAGAGGCCGAGAAATCCTGACTTTTACCCCCTAGTAGGAGTTAGGCTATAATGAATCTAAAATCTCTACATGCTACACTTCCTAAAATGCAACTCAAAACCATTTCTCACTAAAAACGCTGTGTTAACGTGTTACCCAATGAGCATCTCTCCGTCTTCTACCAGCGCCATGTTTTCAAAGGCTGTGTAGAAGTTCTCGTTCCAAGTAAACTGACCTTCATGTGTAAATTTCCCCACCCACACTTTGCCTGACAGTCTGGGGATTTCAACTGGCAACTTGTGAGTTACAAACCTACATTTCTGAGCTCTTTCTGGAACTTGTTGTGTTGTCCTGTGTGGTGATAATCCCCACCCATCTGGCACCTTCGGTCAGCAGGCTGAAACAAACTCTACCAAGTATTTGCAAACATGATCTGACCCAGGTTTGTAATCGTGCAGCTGTTCACTTGAAGTCACAGCTCTGCTCTCCCATCAGACAGCTGATCTTCTTCCACCAGGTCTTCGAGAGGCTCTTGATCTTATCAGGAGTCTTCTTCCTCAGAGTCAGCCTCTGCTGCTGGATGCTACAACTGTCTGTTTGCTGGATGCTGGCCAAGATGGCTGAATCAAACGCATCCTTAAGGTTCTTCTGCGTCAGCGCCGAGCACTCTGCAAAGCTCACCGCCCCGAGCTCTTGCGCGAGCAGCTGGCCCTCCTCAGTGCCCACCGGCTGCTGCTGGTTCTGCGCCAGGTGAATCAGCACGTGGACATCTTCTCTCAGGTCCAGCTGGGTGCCAACGAGGACCAGGGGTGCGCCGGGACAGTGCTGACGGATCTCGGGAACCCACCTTTCAATCAGGTTGCGGAAAGAGCAAGGGCGGACCACGCTGTAGCAGAGGAGGAAAACATCTGCGTTCTTGTAGCATAGTGGTCTAATGCGATCCAGCTCATCCTTCATGAGGCAAAGCAGGAAACAGAGAGGCCAGGTTAGAATCAACTTGGCTACTTGCAGGAAAAGGCATTATTCCATATACTTATTGTTGTCAACAAATGAAATTAGAGGAAAAACTCTAAACCAACAATGAGTTAATGTGTCTCAACACTTTCTGACCTCCTGGACCTGTCTGTGGCTTTCGGGGCTATAATAGGAAAAAAAAGTGGTTCATTTGATGTTTTGTCTGAAATCAAAAGTTTTTATAGTTATTCTGAACAGCCACACTGGAAGGTGGAGCAAAGAGATGGCCATCAAAGAGAGGAGGGAGAATAATTCAAATATGTGAATAACGTGGCCCATTTTCAAGCAGTCTCTGGAAGACGTTCATAGGGTGGCATTCGGTTGTTTACATTCAAGCTGACAGAAATAAACGTGTGAAGAATGAAAAAAAATAGATCTGGAGAGAGAAGTTCAGTCCCTGGCTATTTTCTCTACTCCACACGTCTAACCAATCACTGCATGAAGTGAGTGTGAATGTCAGATCACCAGTTTCAGAAAGATACAGAACTGGAAAGACACTGCACCCCCATATTGTGCAAGGAGAGCAGTGTTTTTTTACTGAGCATGTAAATCTTTGAAAACACCTTGCAAATACACAGTTACATACATGCAGGCTCAATAATTTCATAAAACAGCTGGTCACTATAGATTTGAGCAAACATAATTGAAACAGGAGGAAATAGAGCATGTTAGGGACTACTTTCAGTTTCGGATTAATTGGAGCACTAATGAGTATTTGGGGCAGCAGGTCTGTGTATGTGGGATTGGCTCTAAATAAACTACTACTACTGTGAAGCTGAAGTGATCACTGGAGCTCAGATGACTGACTCACCTCACAAATGTTTTCCCTAAAGAATTCACCAATCAGAAGCCAACTTCAGACTGTTTCTTTTTCTTTTATGTTTTTAAAACATTTTTAAGGGTTGATTAACCCAAATTCCCTTGAAGTTCTCACTCACCTCTAGTGTTATCTGCCATGTAGATGGGTTTGGTTTAATACGCCTTGGTTTGTCTCTGTTTCTGAGATTTCTGGATAATATTTCTTTGCTGAATCCGCTTTCTTCTGAAAAAATGGTCTCTATAAAAACTGTAGACATGAGGTCTGTGTAATATCCAGAGCAACAGGTTACACTGTTTCTGGAAAGACTTTGCTGTAATTTAGATAAATCAACCCTTTAACTACTAACTTCTTTTGTTTTTAAAGGCACTAAACTTTGTTTCAGGTGTTAACAGGGGAAGCTCCTATTAGGAGAAACTGGATGGTGTATAAGTTATTTTGAACAAGGTGGATCTCAAGGTGACACGTGGGCTTAACTTCTGAATGACAAATTCGGTTTATTCCAGCAGGGGGCGATGTAAACTGTGGAGTTACAGGACTACTGGGCACTGGGAGGCAATTCAATCTAAAGGGGTCTTGAAAGACTTCATTCCAGGACTAAAAGCAGGCTGCAGGGGACAGCGAACACAAACACAGCAAGAACTGCCAACATATAAGAATAACATCAAGTACTGACAAACACTTATTGATCACTGATGACTTACATTGATTGATCCATCAACCAGCCCCCATTTCTATCATGAGAAACAAATGCAAAAAGATGTAAAAAGGAGAGTAGCTGAGTGATTAGATGCATACTTACATGCACCTGTTATACAGCTGCCACATGTTCAGGTAGCCTATGTTACATCTAAGTTTATGTATTTATGAGAATATTCAAACTCTGGAAGAGAGAAGGTGTAGTTCACCTGTCCAGCCGTGTCACAGAGTTGCAGTCTCACTGGTTTTCCGTCAACCACAACCATCACTGGGAAAGATAAAGAAAGCTGTTACTTTATGTGTTTGACATTTGCTCCACCGGTCTCCCTGTAAGGTAAACAAACATGGACAAATTCTGCAGGTTTTTAAACGTAAACCTGACATGTAGCCTAACCAACTAAAAGAAAACAAATTAGATAAAATCCTTAAACCTTCAGGTGTGCCTAAAGCGTGTGCGTAACGCTCCAAATCAACTCCATGCATGTCAAACATTACCGGTAAAGTTGTCAAACGCTGTTGGAACATATTCTGTCGGGTATCCGTTGGTGGTGTAGCTGACAATGAGGCTGGTCTTGCCCACCGCTCCGTCTCCAACCAGGACGCAGTTCACCTTGCGCTCAGGTGCGGAGCCGGACCGCCGGCGCTTTACGCTCAAAGGGAAGTCCCGGTTCTTTAAGCGCCGAGTAGGGACTGGGGGACAGTCTCCCCCGCACACCGGTTCCGACACACGGCGCGGCTTCTGCTTCCCGACATCCTGAGGTAGCATAGCTCTGTCTTCGGAGAGGGAGATATTTGTTTGAATTGTCTGATGGTTCAGAGTGGTTGGAGACTCCCTGCGCGCTCCATCTTTTTGACAACAGGTCTCTGTTGCTGTTAGTTTATAAAAGGCAACATAAAACGCCAAATGATTCTTAGTCTAGGTGTTTCATGTGAGCCGTGGCAGAGATTTGAAGCGCTCAGTGGCACAGCCGTCGGGTTTCTCCGCTCAGCAGGAGCTCCTGATTGGCATTCTCCCTACATCTGCTGTGGTCGTGATTCCTAAGAGGCTTACCGAGCAGAGCGCCATATGAAGCTCCAGAGCTCTCCAAGTGAAATGAAATAAGCTTACTGGAAACCTTTATCCAACAGACTAAAATATACAGTATCGTGTCTCCTTCTTGAGCCAATTAAACGATGGAATTCAAACTTTGACAGTGGATTTATTCATTTTGTGGTGTTTATTTTGAGGAGGGTCAAACTGTAAACACATAAATAGGTTAATTTTAGTCTTTTTTAAATGTTACAAAAAAACATGACTAGGGATTACATACACTGCAGTTGTCCACCAACAGTGTTTTAAAATGCATTTTATTTAAGTATCTTCCCAGATGGAGCTCCTTAGAATCTGCCACCTGCTAACCTAATGATAAGTAAAGGAGTGAACACATGACAATCACACACAAATAGATATTCTAGATAAATTTTCTTTACCAGTCTGACTCACTACTGTGTCCAATAACCTCCATTCAATCCAACATTCCCATATTAACTTCCAGGCTGTTTACAGGGAAATATGTAGAAGAAATA